GACATCGAATTTTATCCTCGTGATATATTTCCTTTTTTTTCCCTTTTTAAAGTAGAACTTACAAGTTGATTATCAATTTAATTCTGACAATAAATTGCAATTAAAATCAAAATGAAGCTAGTTGCTTATGTATCTTATCGAATGCTCGCATTCGAAAATGCAGATAAAAGTGAACGTTGCAGCACGAAAAACATGCGCAAAATTGCGTGCGTCCTCGAATTTCCGCGAGAATACGCCCCGTCCCGTGACGGCGATCCGCTGGTTTTTATTTCTATCGGTGACCGTGAACGAATTTTTTTTTTCTTGCCATTAACCGCCATTCGATCGTGCAGAGATTCCACGCCCGAGTCTCTCCCGCGATTACTCGCGGAAATTGAAAGGGGAATAAAAATCACGGTATGCATAATCGCCAATGATTTCCTCGCCGTGGGAGGGGAAGCGTCGTGTCTCAGCCTGCATCGGGGAAGGTATCATTATTATTGTGCGCATCGATAAAAGAAAAACGCGAATTACGGTTTGCTGCATACACAATCACGCTGATTTACGCGCTTGAAAAAAAAGGAGGAGATATTAATTTCAATTCGATATTTGTCTTTCATTCCTCGGCGTTGCAGCGAAACTGCCGTTTCTCATATTCACGCCGATAAAATAACTTATGTCCGACGAATATATCAAACGAAGTCACACGATGCCATGTCAAAAAGTGTCGACAACATTTTGTTCTCATAATTTTTTACAAAAATTAAAAAAAGTATGTCTTTTACTTTACTTTTACTTTACTATTACTTTTCAATTCGAGCGATTGTGTTTCTTCAAATTACTCTCGCTCTCTTTTATCGCTATATTTTTCTCTTATCGCTATATTATACTTCAGAAGATTATTTCGAAGATTGTCACGTCTTTTCTAAAGATTAAACGAAGTAACACGATGCCATGTAAAACAGTGTCGTCAACGAAATTTTGTTCTCATAATTTTGCGCAAAAATAAAAAAGTATATCTTCTACATCTTTCAATTCGAGCGATTGTTTTCCTGCAATTTACTTTCGCTCTCTTATTTTTCGTTTATCGCTATATTATATTTCAGAAGATTATTTCGAAGGTTGTCACGTCTTTTCTAAAGATTAAACGAAGTAACACGATGCCATGTAAAAAAGTGTCGTCGACGAAATTTTGTTCTCATAATTTTGCGCAAAAATACAAAAATAGTATATCTTTTACATCTTTCAATTGAAGCGATTGTTTTCCTTCAATTTACTTTTGCTCTTCGTTTATCGCTATATTATACTCCAGAAGATTATTTCGAAGGTTGTTACGTCTTTTTCAAAGACTCTTACGTCTTGTTCGTAATTCACCGTGTCGACAAGTGCTCTATACCTTGTTTGCCACGCGAAAAGAATAGGTGAATCCTTTCTGGAAAATGAGCAGAGGGAACAAAACGTCAAGGGTGAAATACATGGCGCAGGGAAGCTCAAGGCTGTTAGAATATTGTCGATTGCACTGCCTAGGGAATTCCGTGTACGTACGTAAGCTTCCTCGAGGAAACGCGTAAGTGGTTTCATCAGAAATTCCCGAGTATAATACGTACGATCAGGCAAATAGTCGCCGCATGAGTGCGGAAAAGCTTTCGGTAAATCATTTTTCTTTTCCTACGGCGTTTCTCTCTGCGATAAGAGTTGGCACACGTTCAACGTGACATTCGTCCTGATTTTAGGCAAGATTAGGAAAAGACTGTAAAGATCCTTCGATTTTTTATCCATTTCTCAAAAATATTCTGTGTCGAACGCTCGTTTATAATTTCGTAATACATTTTGTGAATACATTTTTGCTCGTAGTGTCATCTAAATCATTTCATTGTCTATACAAATTTATTTGTTATATTCTTTACTGGCAGGAATATTATTTCGCATTGACTAGTTGTTGTTACCTAGTTGACACAACTATAAAATATATAACAAATAAACTTTTATAGACCCTGAGCTACAGATGATTTAGACAACACTGTCGAGCACAAAATTTATTACAAACTTATAAACGAATTTCTGATACACCCTCAGAGAGGATTTCTGCTACCGAGACAAAAAATATTCTTGGCGCATTTATATCTCTCGCAACCTCATTTCATCAATAATTCTTATTCTCCGCTATCGAATTGAAAAAGATTGACTTATAATACTATATTGAGACAAGAGTAACTTATATACATGTAAGTTTATATATTCTTGCGTTCAGAATCAATTCTCCGTCCATCTTACAACGCGCGAAGCTGGCACCGCGATATTCGACAAAAGACGACACTATTATTTTATTCTAGATTTTAGAATTTTTCATTTGAGATTAAAATATTCCTTCCTCTATAATAAATATGATTGGCTCTATATCGATCCTATTTTATGATACATTGAAGTGTAATAGCATGGGATCCGCAAAGTTTTTCTGTGGGTGTACTTACGCGAGTTCCCGTAAAAAAACGGCGATTCACATTTATTTATGGTAAATTATGTAAGTTCTGTTTTGCCGCTGTTTACGTACATTTAAAGATTATAAAATATGAAAGATTATACATCTTGCAAATAATACTGAAAAAGCGGCACATAAATGACCAATATAATTTTTCTCATTCTGTTAATAAGGAAAGATGGAATGTCTTTTTTAATAACCTGTGCGGACAAAAAACATTATGAACTAAAAGGAGATATCGCGAGGCTAATTTATTTTACGGTCACAATTTGCAATCAAAGAATGGAATGACTCACGAGGAAAACGATAGAAGGATGAAATAAAACTTATTATTTAAAATTCGTATGGCTGAAATGTGATAAACACAAATTTAAATGAACAAAGGACTGAGAGCCGTGACAGGGTGTTAGTGTCTAAATAAACTTATTATTTGTAAGATTTGTCTAATTGTAAGATCTGCTACAAACTCGCGATTCAATTTTTCAATCAAGCCGTCAGTGAAACAGAGAGAGAGAGAGAGACGACGGACTAAATGTCGAAGATAAGATCTACGGGCGCGGGACAAAAGAAATAAATGAAGCGATGAGTCGGGAGGATGAATTAGAAATAAATTAATTTTGTCGGGTGTTAAGTCTGACGCATGATAAATCACGGGGTTCTCGACGACGATCCTTCGGGACGGGCGGTACAAAGACGGGCTCTGAGAACAAGTTGAAAGATGAACGCGGCGAGGCGGAGCGGTCGAGAGAGGAAGACGGGGATCAAAGTCACGGGATGACATTCTAAGCAGTCAAGGGCACGATTGCTGTGGGAGAGATGAATTTTCTGCGGGCCACGTTGCGCCGGCCCGTTTGAAATAAATTATTACTGATGAACGCGCGAGCCAGTGAAGTTCAATCCTCGGCCACGGTATTGTGCCGTGATTATTCGTCGCATAAGAGCGACGTCGCTCCCGCCTTGATTGTAATTGCGTGGTACTGCAACAAGTATCTCCGCGAATAAACTCAAAATCGCATGCGTTGCGTTACCCCGCATGTGTGATCGTGAAACCGGCGTGACACCCGGTTGCGTGATGCTAATTGCCGAATAAATTAATATAACGAAGTCGCAGACGGCGGAGAAAATTTTATGTAACACTCGAACTACGCTGGCGAGCAATATCGCAGAGTTCATTTAGCTTCTACAGAAAAAGAAAAAAGCTACGAGGGCTGTTTGATCAGTCAGTGACGTTTACAAGCGATGACACTCAAATCGCAGGCCAATTTTATTTCTGATGTTTGCCACCTTATTTAAGTCTACGCACAAAGTTTAAAGTAGATCCGTCAAATAGAAATTTTTTCACAGCGTTCTAAAGCGGATGAACTTGTGTTCTTTTGCTAAAATGGAAAGAAGTGAATTCCGTGTGCTAATAAAACATTACTATTTGCGTGGAAAAGCCATTAAGGAAACTGTAATCGTAGATAAAACATGGGCCCATTATTACACTCCAGAAACGAAGGAGCAGTTAAAACAATGGATTTTTCCTGGCGAACGTGCTCCGAAAAAGGCGAAAACGGTTTCGTCGGCCGGAAAGCTCACGGCCGCTTTAGAACGCTGTGAAAAATGTTCACTGACTTATCAAACAGCCCTTGTAAGCGCGGCCCTACATCCACAGAAAGAATTTCCGGATCCAATGCTATTACGATTATTCTGAATTTTCCCTCCATCTTCCAACGCACGAAGTTGACACCACGATATTCGACAAAAGACTATCATTTTATTCTAGATTTTAGAATTTTTCATTTACGATTAAAATATTCCTTTCTCTATAATAAATACGGTTGGCGATATATCGATCCTATTTTATGATACATTGAAGTGTAACATTCTAAACGCAAGAGTATATGAGCTTACATTTATATAAGTTACTCTTGTCTCAATATAGCAAGTCAATCTTTTTCAATTCGATAGAGGAGTATGAGAATAATTGATTTAATTTTGATATTGTCTCATTTTTCAATCATATTTATTATAGAGAAAGGAATATTTTAATCTAAAATCTAGAATAAAATGACAGTCTTTTGTCGAATATCGTGGTGCCAACTTCGTGCGTTGTAAGACGGAGGGAAAATTTATTCTAAACGCAAGAATATACAAGCTTACATTTGTATAAGTTACTCTTGTCTCAATATAGCGAGTCAATCCTTTTCAATACGATAGAGGAGAATGAGAATTATTGATTTAATTCTGATATTGCCTTAGTTTTATACTAAATGAGGTTGTGAGAAATATAAATGCGCCGAGGATATTTTTTGCCTCGGTAACGGAAGTCCTGTCTGAGGGTGTACATTGAACATAAGCTGCGATTCTTTCAATATAATTGAATATTTAATATTAAATTTATCTCGTGACGCGTGGATCAAAATTTTGATTCCCCGTGAAGGAGAAACGTAATTTTCTCTCGCGCTGTTTTATTTCGTGCTGTATATTGCCGATCGAGAGCTTCGGTATTTCGAATTTTGCGTCGCCCCGCGGAGACTGTGGCTTTTCGTCGTCTACTTACATATGCAGCAGACGGCGAGCATTCGTACAGGCTCATCGGGCGGCGTGCAATCCGGAAAAAGCGGCTTAAGGACGTAGACGCTGAAAGTCAAGGCCACGATCGCCTGGCTGCAAGGGCGCACTATCATGCACTCAACCCACAGTCTGATGAACGCCAAGAAGGGCCCGAAGGTCTCCATGATGTACGCGTAATCCGCCCCCGACTTCTTAATCATGCAGCCGAGCTCGGCGTAGCAGTAAGCCCCTATCTGTCGCGAAACATGGACGAACAAGGAATTAATTTAACATATTTACATTGTGCCACTGCACATCGAAGCGTGTTCAGGATAGATTTGCATCCGTATGAGTTGAAATTTTTCATGTCACCGGAGTGAACGGCGTGAGCCGTCGTGAAATCCAAATCCAACGCGAATAAAGTTTGATCATTTAAGGACACTGTCGTCATTCAGTGAGTCGTTTTATTTGTAAATCTATCGAGATAACCGTAGTCACTTTAATTGCATTAATATATCGGCGTAACAAAGAAATGAATTAAATAAAAATGGACGGAGCGACAAAATTGAAGAGTTGTTCTCCGATAAAACAAAGGGGATGCGTACCATGGAATAAATTCCGGACGCCGTCCAGACGAGAAGACTCGCGTTCACGCTTCCGGTGTACTTGAGGACACCCGTTGGGCTGACGAAAATGCCGGAACCGATGATGGAGCCGACGATGACGGTGACGCCGTTGAGAAGCGACATTTTCGCCTCCAGCTTGATCTCGTCGTTGGGCTTCTCGGCGGTAGGGACCGGGTCGTAGGGCCCCTTCTCGCCATCTTTGATGCTCCCTGACTTGGACATTCTTTCTGAAATACGCAAACAACTATACATTTCTCAATCTTGCGCTCGTCAAACGTATTTTTCTTAGTTATATTTAGATGACATTTGCTATTCGCGGCGTTGCCTCAAATAAAATTAAAGCGAAAATTAATAGAACCGTTCTAACAGGTGTATTTTACAGACGTAGATGAACTTACGAGTTAATCTTGCGACGATACTTCGAATTCGAGCGACGCAATATACGAAATGGGCGGAAAAATACTCGCGTTGCGAAATGCAAAAGGTTGCACTGCCATGCGGTGATGCAATTTTTAGGAAATATCGACAAATTTGCGCGCATGAAAAGGCATTCTTTTTCATTTGTATTTCAAAAGCTGCTGCCGGTAAAACCGCCCATATATGCATCAACTCGAATTCTTTCGATATGCATCTAGCCTCTTTTTCGACGTCGAAGAATAATCGACAGGATCGCTCAAAGTTTTGTCAAGTTTATGATAATTTATGCTCATTATGCGTGTCTCGTTTTACTCAGCGGGTTCTGCAGAGTGTCCGTTCAATTTCTCATTCAACAGTTCCGCCTTAGAGAGATCCGTGCGGATAAGAGTGTCGCAATTTGTTTAGGTATACGTGCAACACGTGGTGTAACGTCTTACGTAATGAGTTGACAATCCCTCTACCCTGATTACCCGCGCGCTGCTAGAAATAAATCGATGATTGTACCGAAGCGATCGTATCCTGTCACGCGACAATCTCGTGAACCACCGCAGAGAATCGTTCCTTTTCCCCGCATATGTTTTCGTTCGTTCTTCCCAAATATTCGTTTCTTAAGATCTGTGTCCACGATGCTGGAACTTGGCCCAAGTTCACAGGCCTTTACGTACTTTTCGGCCCATTGACCCTAGCGGAGAAATTTCTAAAATAACTACAAAAAACTGACTTGAAATAGAAATTTGTAGAAATTTTTATATCCACGTTGAGACATTGAGTTTTTTGTAAAAATATCTACGAAACAGTACCACAGATTACAATGTTTTCAAATCAAGAAATTATTGCACGTAGTGTTTCATAAAAATGTACAATTTTGTAAAAATTAGTACAAAAGTTTACTAGCTTTAAAAATTAGAGAAACAACAAAATCTTAAAGGATTAAAACGTCTGCTTGTAGAATATTACGAAAACTGATTTACAAAAGTTAACAAAACTGTTCCAATTCTAGCATTTTCATGTTGATTTTTATAACACTTTTTAAATTTACGTAGAGTTTCCTAGATTCTTGCAATTATATTTAATTATTATGTAAAATTTTGTAGAATTATTTCCGGCAGGGGTGGGACGAGGGGAATTTCCTCTCTCGTTGCAAGAAAAATTCTTTCCTGCACACTTGTTTACGAGATATCGCGAGATATCCAAAGACCCACATCTTATTTCGAGTATACAGGGCCTATTTGCATTTCCCGCACAATGTGAAGATAACGTGACTTGCAACGTTATCTGCACCATAAAACGTCGAAATAAAGCGCGGAGAATCCATCTCCGCGTTTCTCTCGACTCTTCTCTCATCGGTTCTAAGTAACGGAATAGAATGGCGCGCGTGTATAAATCGCGATCCCGTGTTTCATGGCCGATGGTTTCCTCCCGAAGGACTTCTTGTCCTGAATAATGCATCTAACAATCGCGCCAAGCGCGGGACAGCCGAGGGCGCGATCTCTCGCAACGAACGGCGTCGATTTATCTCGGGGAGGAGAATCGACGTTGTTTCCACGCGGGCGAAAGGTCGCTCTTACTCCAATTTCTCGGGAAACTTGCGAGTCTCGTATAAATACACAGCGGGCAACAGGTTCGTTCTGCGAAAAAATTTCCTGAATCTTGTCAGCGCCACACGAACAAGAGGTCCTCCAGAATGAAATGGACATTAAATGCCCACCTTGGCCGCGACTCAACATCGGCACTAATTCAAAAAGTATACAGTGATTCGCGAGAATAAAACGGCATGCGTTTCTTGAAAACAGAATTGGTACTTGAAACGGAGCGAGTTAAAATGTTTTTGAATAATGTTATTAAATTGTATAGTAAAAATATATTATCTGCTATATTGTGCGAATCTCGCTGCGGTAACGTAACAGCAAAAATTATATCAATAGGCGTGGCGCAAAGAAATGTGCTCTGCTTAGTAAATAAATGAACGAAAAGATCCGAGTTCGAATCCAGCCACGGATACCGCTGGTTTTTTTTTCGGACGGACCTACCTCTCGGAGGGAAGTGGCAACCGAGAGTATCCTGCCACCCCTTTAGAGCCCTCCAGGTTGGAGGTTTCCTTCAGCTATGTTAACAGCCTACCGAAGTTGAAGTGAAACCAAATGAAAATAAAAACGAGAACGCCTAATAATTTTTCGTTCTGGTACAGAACGAACTGGATAAAACAGGCTTTAATCCTAATACACGAGGAAGAATAGTAGCGGAGTAGAAATCATAATTGGAGGCAATGAGAAATCGAGATCCATTTTCGTAATTTTTAGTTCTATCTTATGAAGTGATCGTGAGTGTCTATTGTGTCTAGTATATTACGTAAAAATGATTTAATTCTCATTTGTAAAAATGACGCCTGGAATTATACTTGAGGAGAGTTTCTCGGTCATTGTACTTAAGACGTTGGCACAGAACTTAATTTCTAATGTTTCGCGAAAGCTCTAGCGAAAAAGTTAAGTATTGGAGTTGGTTCTGCATTGCAGATGCCCCGTTAGAGGAATCAGAATATTATTATACAAATATATATTCTGACTCTAACAGGACGCAATTGTCTCTATTTCGCTGCTACTATTATTGATACAATTTTTAACTGCGGCGAAATTCGGGCAGCACTTGCAGCACTCACTCGGGAGCACAAAAGAACGAGTTTAACGGCTCTTGACGTTTAATAAGTACAGTTCGACACGTAAGAAAAAGGAAGAGGAAAGCTACAACCGCCTATCATGACACATCTAAACGATGTCACATGACCAAGTCTAATGTTTGCTCGTTTACAATCTGAGAATCCTAGAGACGATCTTTTCCTTTGCTTCGTGTTCTTCCCCGATTAGTCACCGCGGGTTACAAATATTACAGCAGGACAAAATAATATTATCTCCGCTACGGTATCTATTTCGCTTTTTACTCGATGTCACGTTTACTTACTTGTTCCCATCCCAGAACCCGCGAATTCACTACGAGGAGAAAAATTGGATGCTGTTATCGCGCCTGCTCACGCGTAGCTCTATCAATTAATTACATATGCGCTTCGCTTCATGTGATCGAAGTCGACGTTACGCGAGCGCGGCCGCGGGACTGGCGGGGAAAGGTGAGTTTTGGAGAGCGCACAGACGCGTACGTAACCGCGAAATTAATTAGGATTCTGCGTCATTAGCGCGGCATTTATCAGGCCAGACTTCCGGCCAATTGTAGGCGCGATCATCGAGACACACCTTTAATGTCACCTGACAAACAACCTGCCTCGGCGAGAACCTGTTCCTTTGGTGCAGTACGCCCGCTCGTGCGCTCATTAATTGCGCTCATTAGTATGAAATGCTGACAAAACACGCAATGTCGTCTATTTTAGCGATTGTCCGATTCGCTGATCTGCCGGCGAGCCTCATCGCTGCCAATGTCATCTGGTCACGTCGATTCTGCTGATCGGCCGCTCGATTTTCGATTACACCCAGGCCGTACTGCCGCCCAAGTGTGTGCTCGGATAAGAAACTCGCGAAATATCGGCGTTTGTTTCCTCGGAGAGCATAAGCAGAGAGAAACTCGAGAGCGGCAACGCCGGCGTTTTACTTGATACCATTTCAAGAGAAATATTAAGTACTGTTTTGCGCAAAAAGTGAAGAGACACAGGAGGAAATGTATCGGTGGTGGGGGGCTATATTTCTGTCGGGCGGAAGTAAGTCAGGCAGCCATCTTGACGATCCACTTTTTTTACGTTAATGAGTGCCCGTCTGTGGACACCCGATAGAATGGGTCAACGTTATTTGACGTATGATCGCCACGTAAAGGAAAGCCGTAACGTAAATCTTTTTAAAATAATTAAGTGTGTAAATTGTGACGAGCATTGCGGTTCATTGCCAGGCCTGTGGCACAACATCAGCAGCCCGACATTACGGAATAACGTTTTATTGATTTACATCGCCCTTTTGCGCGCCTTTACGTCCATTTTTACTTTTGGAAGTATTTCGCTATGCATCCTCTGACACTGCCGATAAAGTCTCCACTTTGTGTCCATGCTACGCCTGTTTTTCGGGATTGTGCTGTGAAATTCAAAACTACATTAACATAAATTATCTGCATGATATTTACATCAACTTCTCTCGTGTAGACAATGTAAATTTTATAAATTAGATGTCGGAATGCATTGCACAGACATGAACCAAGTGGAAATTTTATCGGCAGGGTCAGAAAATGCGTAATGAAATTGTTCCAAAAGTAAAAATGGGCGTAAGGGCGCGCAAAACAATCTCCCGAAATGGCATCGAGTAAAACGCCGGTGGTGGCCGCTCTCAGGTTTCTCCCTGGTAGAAAAGAAAGCGTCCGGCGTCCTGCGATATTTGCGATACACCCTCAGAAAGGATTTCTGTTACCGAGACAAACAATATTCTTAACGCATTTATATTTCTCACAACCTCATTTAGTGTAAAAATAAGACAATATGAAAATAAAATAAATAATTCTTATTCTCCTCTATCGAATTGAAAAAGATTGACTTGCTATATCGAGACAAGACTAACTTATATAAATGTAAGTTTAGATATTCTTGCGTTTAGAATAAATTTCCCCGCCATCTTACAATGCACGAAATTGGCACCGCGATATTCGACAAAAGTCAATTCGAGACAATACAGATTTAATTTCGCGAGTGCGAGAAGGCTGAATCTAAGCGAATGGAAGTATTTGAAAGACCGAAGCTGTTCGCGCAGCAAATACGACGGTAGGTGGAATTAGTATTACGGCCCCGAGGATACGCATAAATTGTGGAAGCAAATAAAAACAGCGAAGA